CGCCGCCCGCGCGCGGCGCGCTCGCGGCGAGTTGCACGGCGCTCGCGCTCGCCGCGCGCCGCGTGCCCTGGAAGCGGCGACCGGCGCGGGACGACGAAAACCCTCCCCCCCTCAAATTCTCCTCGTTCGGCCGCGTTCCGCTCGTGTCGGCTCATGCGTGGACGAGCGATCGTCCCTCGACGCGGCCTCGACGCGCGGATGCTTGTTTCCGGCGCGCGCTTGCGAAACGCCGTTCGTCTAATCGACGGCGCGTCCAAAACAGGCGGCTCTCCGTGCAGCTCGCGGACGACCACGGCGTGCTCTGCTGCGACCTCGACGTCGACCGCGACTGGCGCGCCTACTTTCGCGAGCTCTGGACGACGCGGCGCTTCAAGTGGGGCGGGTCCCGCGGCGCCGGCGCGTTCTCCGTCGGCGCGATGGTCCGCTTCCGCCCGCGGGCGGCCGGCGGCGCCGCGGGCGAAACCGCCGCGGACGTCTTCCTGCCGCTGCACCAGCGGCTCCAGCTCCGGCGCCTGGGCCACGAGACGGGCCTCGCCGACGAGGTGTCGCGGCGCCTCGGGCCCGTCGGCGAGGACGTCGAGACCTACGAGGCGCGCGCGCGGCGCCGCGCGCGCGACGCCGCGAAAAACACGGAGCTGCTCCGCGCGGCCAAGGGCACGCCCCGCGGCGGCCCCAACGACGAGAACGCGGAGCCCAACACGCCGTCGCCGGTCCACGACGCGCCCGCGCCCGCGCCCGCCGCCGCGGCGCCCGAGGCCGCGGCGCCCGCCGCCGCGGCGCCCGAGGCCGCGGCGCCCGAGGCCGCGGCGCCGCCGCGCGACGCCTTCGCCGCGGCCGCGAACGTGTCGGCCCGGGTCGTCTCGACGGAGCCCACGCGCGTCCTCGTCGGCGTGCCCGGCAGCGGCCTCGTCTACTACGACTTCGAGCGCGTGCTCGACGCGGGCGCGACGCAGGCCGCGACGTACGGCGCCGCCGCGGCGCCGCTCGTCCGGAGCTTCTGCGACGGCCTGAACGGCTGCCTCCTCGCCTACGGCCAGACGGGCAGCGGCAAGACGCACACCATGTTCGGCCCGCCCGGCGCGCTCGACGCGGCCGCGGCGTCGCCGGCGAATCGCCTCGGCGCCGACGCGGGCGTCGTGCCGCGCGTGCTCGCGGACGTGCTCGGCGCGATCGCGGCGGCCAAGTCCCGCGGCGCGGCCGTCGACGCGCGCCTGAGCTTCTCCTACCTCGAGCTCTACCAGGAGCGGCTCACGGACCTGCTCGGCGGCGGCGACGTGAAGCTCTACCGCGTCGGCCGGGGCGTCGCCGCGGACGAGTACCGCGAGCGGACGGAGGACTGCGACGACGTCGTCCTCAACGGCGCGACGCACTTCGACGCCACGGCCGAGGGCGACGCGGCCGCCTGGCGCGCGCTCGCGGCCGCCGAGGCGCGCAAGGTCCAGGCGGCGACCAGGGCAGGAAAAGAGTGCGAAATTCCCAACTTCAAAGGCTCCTCTCTCGGCCGTTTTCCACTCGTTTCGGCTGATTTTTGGACGAGCGATCATCTCTCGGAACGGTCTCGAAGCGTGGATGCTTTTTCCGGAACGCGCGCGCGCGGAACACTCACGTTGAAGCGAACTTGAATCACTCTTTTCCGGTCCAGGCGGCGACGGCGATGAACGCGCGGTCGTCGCGCGCGCACACGATCTTCGGGCTCACGCTCGCGCAGTCGTGCCGGGGCAAGGTGCTCACGTCCAAGCTCTTCCTCGTGGACCTCGGCGGGTCCGAGCAGGTGAAGAAGTCGAAAGCCGAGGGCGACCGGTTCCGCGAGGCCGTGACGATCAACAAGTCGCTCGTCGCGCTCGGCCGCGTCGTCGACGCGCTCGTGAACAAGAACAAGCACCACGTGCCCTACTACGAGTCCAAGCTCACGACGCTCCTCCAGCCCGCCTTCGGCGGCAACTCGAAGACCGTCGTCCTCGTCTCGGCGTCGCCCGACGACGGCGACGGCGACGAGTCGCTCAACAGCGTGCGCTTCGGCACGCGCTGCGCGCGCGTGCTCAACAGCGCGTCCGCGAAGACGGCGGACATGGCCGACGTCCTCGCGTCGCTCGACGCGCAGATCGCGGGCGCGCGCGCGACGCTCGCGCGGCTCGAGGCCGGCGGCGCGAAGGCGCGCGCGCTCGGCGAGGCCGGCGACGCGCGGCTCCGGGGCATGGGCGCGGGCCACGCGGCGGCCTCGCGGCTCCAGGCCATGAGCCACCAGGACGACACGGGCGGCGACGTCTCCAAGGAGGCGGGGCTGTCCACGCGCCAGGCGCACGCGCACCGCGGCGCCTACTCCCACGTCGACGACGACGCGGGGCTCTACGTCGCCGAGTCCGACAAGCTCGCCGCGCTCCTCCAGCGCAAGGCCGCGATCGTCGGCGCGCCCGCCAAGTAGGCCGCCGCGCGCGCGAGCCTCGGAACCCCAGGCCGGGCGTAACCAGCCACCCCCGCTCCGGGCCGCTCGCGCGGTGGTCGGAGTCGTCGTGGCGAGTCCCCGCACCTCGTCGTTTCCAAGACCTGGTGCCAGGGCGGGCGGCCGCGCGCGCGCGCGGCCGGCGACGCCGATGCTGAAGTGGTGATGCCGCATCGGTGAACATTTACGTGAACACTTTTAGCGCCGGCTCTCGATGCTGCCCGCGTGAGCGTGCCTCGGCGACCCGTGCCCGCCGTGCGCGCCTCGCCGCCGTCGGCACCCGAGCCCGCCGCGCGCGCCTCGCCCGCGCTTCGGCGCTGCGGCCAAAAAAAAAAAAAGGCCCATGGAGGCCTCCGCGAGCGCCCCGGCCCTGGGTGCGCCCGCCGCCGAGGAGGCGGAGACCGCCTCCGCGCGGTCGCGGCGCGTGCGCCAGTACTGGCGCGATGCCTTCGACATCGCCCACGCCGTCAAGCGGAGCCGCACGCTCCAGCGCGTGCTCGGCTTCCGGGGCCGCGAGTCGTTCGGCGCGACGTCGCACGCGTACCTCGTCCACGGCGGGGGCTACGAGCCGCCGAAGAAGGGCGAGGTCGCCGCGCTCCAGCCCCGGGGGCTCCTGCTGAAGGCCGGCACGTCGCGGTCGCTCACGGAGGCCGAGGAGCAGCTGCCCCGCTGCAGCGCCGAGGAGGCGGCGCGCGTGCTCAACGAGAACGAGGCGCAGGACGACGACGAGCCGACGCTCATGTCCGCGTCGAACTGCCGCGAGTCGTCGCACTGGGCCCTCGTGCGGACGACGGCGTTCATGACGCACTTCCTGGGCTACGCGCGGCAGCGGCAGCAGGCCAAGGCGCTGCTGAAGCTGAACCGCGAGGACTCGTGGCGCTTCAACCGCCTCGAGGGCGAGGGCGACATCGCGCTCTACAGCTCGCACAACATCATGCTCCGGCGCCGCGTCAAGTACGACGAGCGCGTCGTCGCGCTGCTCAAGGAGCTCTGGGACTGCACGGCCGAGGACCTCGAGGGCGACCTCGAGTGCCAGGGCATCGGCAAGGAGGCGTTCCTCGCGTTCGCGACGAAGTGCAGCCTGTTCCTCGTGCCGCCGCCGCTGCACCCGGACAAGCTCCGCGCGTTCTGCGAGGAGGACTGGGCCAAGGACTGCGACGAGGACGGCGAGCGCATGTCGCCGGACCGCTTCTGCGACTCGCTCTTCCAGGTCATCGACGTCTGGACGGACTCCGTCGACGCCGACGAGTACGTCGGCCTGCTGACGAAGCTCCGCGACGGCATCACCTACGAGGTCGAGGAGGAGAAGCGGAAGCGGCGCCGGTTCCTCGAGGACGCCAAGATCGAGCACCCCGAGGACCTCGACGACGACCTGGACGTCGGCATGGAGGACGACGAGGTCATCGTCGTCGACGCGACGGGGCTGCGCAAGCGCGCGCGCATCTCGCTCCTCGAGTCGCAGGTGCACCGCCACCTCAGCGTCATGCCGCTCAAGGTCCGCGAGGTCAACAAGGAGATCTCGCGCATCTACGACGCCTACATCCGCGCGAACCTCCGCGCGAACGAGCGCGAGGGCCACGTCGACAAGGGCGACCGGTCCCGGGAGATGCTCCTGGAGCAGGTGCGGCTCGCGCTCGCGCACAAGCGCCTCGACAAGTTCGTGGTCATGTGGTACCAGCAGAAGGTCGGGCTGCGCAAGATCCTGCGCCGGAGCCTGCGCAACTTCGCGACGAGCGTCAAGGCGCTCCAGGGCTCGCACCCGCGCATCAAGACCTTCGCGTACCTCGTCGGCCTCGCGGACAACTACGCGGACGCGCGCCGCGCGAAGCACGCCGTGGACCACTTCGGCGACTACTACCGGCCCGTCCTGCGGCGCCTCATCTACGCCAACGACCGGACGGTGCTCGACGTCTTCGGCGAGGGGTCGAAGCCCGTCTGGGTGTCGCAGCGCGACTTCGTCGGCTGCGCGACGGCGAACCTGCGCCACGTGCCGCGCGGCGACCCGCGCTACTTCAACTTCCTCTGCGAGCTCGGCAAGCTCGCGAAGAAGCCCCTGGGCAAGGACGTGCTCGAGTCCTGCGGCATCGACGGCACGGCGAAGCACGCGCAGGCCTCGTCCGTCGTGCCCCTCGACGACGCCGTGCGCCTCCTCGCGCCGCTCTGGCAGGCCGAGGACGACTGGCGCGACTTCCAGCCCCGCATCCGCGCCATCGTCAAGCTCCAGAAGTTCTACCAGAAGATGAAGCTCGGCTCGAAGACGCTCCAGGGCCGGCTCGAGTCCGCCAAGGAGCTCGACGGCAAGCTCAACGGCTGAGCCCCGCGGCCGCCCGCGTCGCCCCAATTCGCAGCCCGGCGCGCGCCGCCCCGAGAGGATACCTAGAGGCGCCAGTAGAGGCGCCTACGACCGCACCTTGAAATCTCTTGAACTGCACCATGAAGCAGGCCTTGAAGCGCGTCATGGACTCGTCATGCACGAGTCATGGTAGCAGGCTATCTTGCCAGGCTGCCCTCTGGCATGACGATGGTCGCCACGGGGTTCGCGTAGAGCAGCGCGGCGGCGCTCCCGCTGCACAGGGTCTTGTTTGTTGATTACGGCCAAAAAGAGCGGCGCGCCTAGAGGTGCTGGAGATGGCCGCCATCGGCGGCGCGGTCTTCGGCGTCGGCGGCGACGCGGCCATCGTCGGCCAGCTCGAGCCGCTGGGCGTCTTCCTCGCGAGCGTGGTCGCGGACCGCCTGGCGCCGGCGCGCGCGAGCGCCGGCGGCGCGGACGCGGCCGCTTCGGCCGCGGCGGTCTGGGACGTCTTCCGCGTCGCCGTCGCCGCGTGCTTCGCGCTGAGCTTCGCGTCGCTGCGGGGGCAGATCGTGGCCCTCGCGGGCGCGCGGGGCCTCTACCCCTGCGCGGACATGCTGCGCGCGGCGGCGCGGGACCTGCCGCGCGGCGAGCGGTGGCTGCGCATCCCCGTGCTCTGGCTCTGGCGCTCCTGCGCCGACGGCGACCTCGTGCGGCTCTGAGACGTCGGGGTGGCGGCCGCGGCCGCGGCCGCGTTGTCGCCGCGGGGCTTCTGGCCCTGCTGGGCCGCGTGGACCGCCGTCGGCGCCGCGGCGCCCGCCGCGGTGGGGTTCCCCTGGGACGTGCTCCTCGCCGAGGTCGGCTTCGCCTGCGCGGCGCTCGCGCCGCGGCGCGGCGCGGCGCCGTCGCGCGCGTGCGTGCTCACGTTCCGGGGCATCCTCTGCCGCGTCGTCCTCGGCATGGGCAAGCTCAAGTTCGCGCGCGGCTGGCGGACCGAGGGCCTCTATTTGAAGCACTTCCTCGCCTGGCAGCCCCTCCCCACGCCCCTCGCGCGGTTCGCGGCGCGGCGCGCGCCCGACGCCGCCTTCCGCGCGGGCCTCTACGCCATGTACGCGCTCGAGGTCGCGGCGCCGGCGCTCTTCTTCTCGCGGAGCGCGTTCCGGCGCCGGGCCGCGGCGGCGGCGACGATCGCGCTCCAGGCCGCCATCCACGCCGCGGGCAACTACGGCGTCTTCAACGCGCTCACGGCGGCGCTCTGCGTCCCGCTCCTCGCGCCCGACGCGCGCGTCGACGCCGGCGCCGGCGCCGCGGCGGCCGCGGCGGCGCTCCAGGCGCTCGGCGTCCTCGCCTTCGCGACCAACTCCTACTCGACGAACGCCTGGGCGCGCGCGGCCGCGCCCGCCGCCGCGCGCCGGGGACGCGCGCGCCCCCCAGGTTCGAGCTCCGGCCGGCCGTCCCGCCGGCGCTCCGCCCCTTCGCCGAGGCCGCGCTCGCCGCCGCGCGCGCCCTGGCGCCCTACCGCGTCGCGAACGGCTACGGCGTCTTCACGGGCGCGGCGCCCGCGGGCTGCGAGGCCGGCGCCCGCCGGGTCCTGCGGATCTTCGCGGCGCCGGACGCGGCGGCGCCGCCGCGCGCGGCCGTCGTCCAGCGCTACAACACGGCGTCGGGGGGCGGCCGGCTCCAGCGCTTCGCGCCCCACATGCCGCGGCTCGACCACCTCCTCTACTACGCGGGCATGGACATCGACCTCGCGGCGACGAACCGGTGCAACCCCTATTTCGCCGCCGCGCCGCTCCTGCCGCGCCTCGCGCACCGCCTCGTCCAGGGCGAGCCGGCCGTCGCGGCGCTCTTCGCGGACGTGCCCCGCCCCGTGCGGCGCCTCGCCGTCGTCCGGTCCTGGGCGCGCTTCGGCGCCGCGCGGGTCTGGGACGACGCGCCGAACCCGCCGGGCATGGCGACGCTCGTCGACGACTTCGTCGCCGACGCGGCCGCGGCCGCGCGGCCCGCGCCCACAGCCGCGCCGCCCCTCGCGGACCTCGGCGGGACGGGCTACTGGGGCCGCCGGTCCGCGGCCGCCGCGCGGGCCGCGAGGCGCCGGCCCGCGGCGCCCGACGCGCCTCGCGGCGAGCGCGCGGTCTTCGCCCACGCCGCCCGGGCGGTCGACTAGGCCGGAACGCCGGTGGGGAGTGCGGCGGACTCGGCTTACGTCGCGCGCCTAGACGCTGAGGAGATCGTTGCAAAAGTCGTCGAACTCCTCCTTCTGGATGACGCGGTCGCCGTTGACGTCGACGTGGTCGATGAGGTCGAGGATCTCGTGGTCCGTGATGCCGAGGTCCGACGACGTGTAGCGGATCATCATGAAGAACCTGCGCCGAGATCAACCGGTGAGCCGGGGGGTCCCGAGTCGAAGCGGATGCGGCCGATCGTCGGACGCGTGCGGCGCGCGTGTCCGCGGAGATCTCCGAGCCGACGCCGACGGGGTCCTCGCGGAGCCGCTCGCGGATCGCGCAGATCTTGCCCATATCCATGATCGGCTGCTTGCCCCGCGCGTTCTCCTTGGCTTCGACGAACGCCTCGTACTCGACGTACTGGATCATGCCTGCGCCGGGCGGCGGTGCGCGGCGCGCGCGGCGCGCTCCCCGCGGACCGCAAAGTCGACGCCGCCCCCCGGGGCGGCCCGCGCCGCGCGCGCGCGCCGCGCTCGCTCCGACGCCGCGCGGCGCCGTCGCCGTTCGCGTCGACCTTGCCCACGAGCTTGCGCAGGCCGTCGTCGTGGATGCCCAGGTCGGACGAGACGCGCTTGATCATGTAGAAGAAGGTGTCGGCGGAGACCACCGTGCCGACGCCGCAGGCGTCGCGGGCGAGGCGGTCGCGGATGAGCTGCATCTGCGCTAGGCTCATGTAGTCGTGCATGCCCTCGTAGCGCGAGATCTTCGACTTGAAGCGGCGCGGGAGCGACGCCCGGGGGGCGACGCGGAGCAGCGGGCGGAGCATGATACGGTCGAGCGGGGCGGGGTGAGATGCCACTCGGATCCTCCTCAAGCTGAGAGCGTGTTCTTCGGGGTGCACATTGAGTGCAAGGTCGGCCTCAACCAAACTCGATCGTGCGTGGCTCGAGCGTCGTCTTCGCCGCTCGCGCCCCCGGGTCGCCCGCCGCCGCCGCGTCGAGCCCGCGCGACACTCGCGCCGCCCGCCGGCGGGGACCGCGCGCGCCGCGGCCGGAGGGCGACGCGCGCGCGGATCCGAGTACTATACAGTCTGTTACGCGACCCACGCGGCCGCCTAGACCTCGTCCTCGTGGAGGAGCATGTTGGGGATGCCGTTGTTGATGGGGAAGCGCCGGCCGCTCTTGGGGCAGACGAGCGCGCCCTTGACGACGTGGACCTGCGGCGCGGGCCGTCGCGCGCGCGCCGGCGCGGCCGCGCGCGGCCCGGCGCGGGCCGACGCGCGTCGCAGAGCGCGGTGTGCACCCGCCGCAGGGCGTCCTCGTCCGTCGCGTCGAGGGCCTCGGGCAGGTCGCAGCCCGCGGCCGCGGCGGCTATTCTCAGCGCGTCGTACCTCACCTTTGGGAGCATGCGGTGCACGAAGGCCTGCGGGGGCGGCCCTCGGCCGGCCGGCGGCGCGCCGGGCGCGGCGCGCGCGCGGCGTTGAACTCCGTCTCCTCCGTGCGCATCTCCTCGATCTCGAGCTGGAGCGGGTACCTGGGGGGGGGGGGGTCGCGTGGCGCCGGCGGCGCGGCGGCGCGACCGCACCCGTCGCACTCCTCGACGCCCTTGACGTTCGACACCAGCATGTTGTGCCTACGCGCGGCGCGTTGGAAAGCGGCGGCGGCGCGGCGGACGCCGGGCGCTCTGCGTAAGGAGTCGCATCGCCTCTCCTAGTTCAGGAGGTCGATGGTGCCGTGCAAGTTGCAGGTGCGAACTTTCCTCGAGGCCGTCCTATGGAGACGACGTCCGGCATGGTGCCGAGCCCCGATGGCGCGCGCGGCCGTTACGTGCGGCGGACGCCCTTCTTCTCCTCGTAGGGGACGTTGGGGAAGACGCGGTAGGCGCCGTCGGCGAGGGGGATGCCCGGGAGCGTCTTCGGCGACCCCTTGGGGAGGAAGACGATCTGGCGGTCGTCGCGGCCCGCGGCGGCCTGGTCCAGGAGCTTCGCGACGACGACGCCGCGGCGCTCCATCATGGGCGCGATGCCCTGCTCCGCGCCGCGCTCGTTGGCGACGATGGCGACGACGAAGCTGTCGAGCAGCCGCTCGAAGAGGTCCGCGGTCGCGTCGTCCGTGCAGTAGCACATGATGTTCGACAGCATGCACACGACGCCCGTGTCGAAGCCGCCGGAGATCTTCGTGAGGTCCGCGTCGTGCATGTCCCACTGGTGGAAGCCGTAGCCCAGCAGGTCCACGTATTCGACCCAGGACGGCTGGAGGTCCAGCGAGACGTACTTGCCGTTCTTCGCCGGCGGCGCGTCCTCCGCCGCGGCGTCGAAGCGCCACGCCGCGGGGTCCGCGGCGTCGCGGCCCCGCCAGTAGCGGTCGAAGTAGTCGTAGGCCAGCAGCTCGTAGCCCGGGCCGCCGCCGAGGCTCACGACGCGCGTCGCCTCGCGGAGGCAGCCGCCCTCGTCGAAGAGGCCGCCGGCCGCGCAGCGCTCGAGCACCGCCCACGTCTCCGTGAAGCGCTGGTACGACTTGAGCCGCAGGTACATCCACTGGAAGCCGGGCAGGCCGTACTCGCGGTCGGACCACGTGCCGATCTCCGAGCCGCGGCGCCGCAGGTTCGGCTTCTCCTCGTAGAGCGCGTAGCCCTCGGCGCGCTGCTGCGCGGCCTCGTCGGCGTCGGCCGCGAAGAGCGCCGCGTTCCGGCCCAGCAGGCGCCGGTTCACGGCGACGAGGCCCCGGAGCAGGCTCAGGCCACTCTGCTCGCAGTAGAACTTGTAGCGGCGGAAGCGGTCGCAGAAGTAGACGCAGGCGCCCGCGTCCGTCTCGTAGACCATGCCCTCGTCCGTGTCGACGCGCGCGGCGTTCGGCAGGTCCTCGTCGAACTCCATGCCGCGGCCGTGGTCGTTCGTGCCGAAGGCGCGCGGCGCGGACTGCCGCGTGCGCCGCTTCGTCGGGTCGTCGGGCGCGCGCCGCTGGCCGAGCTCCTCGCGGCGGTACCGCGAGAACTCGATGAGCTTCGCGTACTGGGCCTTGTCGTCGCCGCCCGCGGGCGGGCCGGCGTCGCCCTTCTTCTCGCGGTGCTCGCGCGCGGCGGCGTCGTAGGCGCTCACGTAGCGCTCGGGCGTCGCGCGCGCGTCGAAGCCGCTCGTCCGCGTCCGCGCGTCGAAGCCGCTCGTCTGGCGCGCGTCGAAACCGCTCGTCTGGCGCGCGTCGAAGCCGCTCGTCTGGCGCGCGTCGAAGCCGCTCGTCTGGCGCGCGTCGAAGCCGCTCGTCTGGCGCGCGTCGAAGCCGCTCGTCTGCGGCGCGCGGCGGGCGTCGAAGCCGCTCGTCTGCGTCGCCGGGCGGCGCGCGTCCTGGGATGAGGCCGCGAGCGCGGCGGGCCGCGGGGCCGGCGCCGGCGCGTTGCCCCAGCGGCCATTCTGCGCCGGCGGCGCCCGGCCACTCGCGTTCGTTGGGGCTGCGGACGGTGCCTTGTTGCGCCGGTGGGGGGGCACGTAAGCACTCATCGTCGCGAGCTACAGCCGCCGTCCAGGGCCGTGCGAGCTGCGGCAGCCAGGCGCCGTGAGGAGCGTCGTGAGGAGAGAGAGTCGCCGGGGGTGATCGAACGTTCCGCGCGCGCGCCGGCACGCCATCGTCGCCGCGCAGCCCCCGATGCCGATATTCGAAGTGCTACGGGCGACGCCGCGGGCGTCTTCTGGATCTTGTTGGCCTGGCGGCGCTCCTTCTCCGCGTTCAACGTTCCGCAGAAACAGGACTCCGAGGCTCGGAGGCTTGAAATATTGAACAAGGTTCGCCCCTTCGCTGTCCTGCCAGTTTCTGATGTGGGTGATGTCGGCGGCAGCAACTTCCACAGGGTTGGTTTTGTCTAACACTGCGAACGTGTCGTCTTCAACCTCTTTCATCTTGATGGCGTAAATCCGTGTCGTAGTCTTACACGCTATCACATCTTACACGCTATCACACCTTACACGTTATCACGTCTTACACGCTACCACGTCTTACAATATAATGTCTCACGAGCAAGAATTTGGAACAGACGAAGAAGGTCTTAAAGCTACAAGTCACGGTGGCAGAGGCCAAGGCAACTCCACAGGCAAAGGCAAAGGTCGAGGATATGGTGGCTTCAAAGGCAAAGGCAAAGGTCGCAGCAGCTTCAAAGATCGAGGACGTGGACGACCTGGTTTCGGAAGAGCTCTGCCATTCAGTACCACCGTTAACAACGCCTTTAACAACGAAACAAGGGGGGCCCTTCAAGTAGCAGTGACGGCCCCAAAATAAACAATTTACACGCACATTGCGTCGTCATCTTGTTCCGACGCTGCGGTGAACGCTCTGAACGCACACCCGCACGTCGCGCGCGCGCCTCCGTGCAACCCTCGCACCCGCACGCGTCCATTGCGCCCGCGACGACCATGCGCGCCGCGACGCGGTTCCGCGCCTGCGCCCTGGCGATTCTGACGTTGGCCTCCGCCGGCGCCCTCCAGTTCTCGGCCCTGCTCAAGCGGTCCTTCGCGGCGCCGCGGCCGCTCGAGTCGTCGCCGCGGCCGCGCGACGACGGCGCGCTCCTCACCTCCGCGCGCGCGCGGCGCGACGCGCAGACCGTCTTCCACCGCGTCGCGCGAGACGCGGCGCGGTCGCTGAGCACGAACCTCGACGACGACGCGCGGCTCGCGGTGCGGCTCCGCGACGCGCCCGCGGCCCTGCAGAACAACGTGCTCCTCCTGCCGCGCACGCTGCGCGCGCTCGCGGCCCGCGTCCACGAGCGCCGCGCGGCCGCGGGCGAGCGCGCCGCGGCCGCGCGGCCCGCGGCGCCGAGCATCTGCCTCGAGGGCCACTCGGTCCTCGCGCTCTACCAATGAGCCGGTTTTCCTCCAGCCCCCCCCGTGCACATAGCCCCCGTAACGTCTGTATGGCCCCGCGCCGCGCCCAAAGGCCGCCCCCGTCAGTCGTCGTCGTCGTCGTCGTCGTCGTCGTCGTCGTCGTCGTCGTCGTCCGCGCGCGCGTAGGTCTTGGGCTTCGGCGGCCGCGACATGCGGATGCCCGCGCCCGGGCCCTTGTCCTTGCTGATCATCGACCCGAAGCCTCGGAGCGCGCCCGCGCCGCCGTCGCCGCCGCCGGCGTCGAGGCCGAAGCCGCCGAGGAGGTCGCCGGCCGCCGCGAAGGGGTCCGCCGCCGCGTCGCCGCCGCCGAGGAGGTCGCCGCCGCCGAGGAGGTCGCCGCCGCCGAGGAGGTCGCCGCCGCCGAGGAGGTCGCCGCCGCCGAGGAGGTCGCCGCCGCCGAGGAGGTCGCCGCCGGGGAGGCCGGCGGCCGCGAGCGGATCCTCGGGCTCCGCGCCGGCGGCCGGCCGGTGGTCCTCGACGGGCGGCCAGGCGCCGCTCGCGAGGTCCGCCACGAAGGCCGCGGCCTTGGCGAGGCCGCCGAAGGGGAAGACGTGGAGGGCGACCTCGTCCGCGCGGCAGTCCGCCTGCGTGGGGACGACCGCTCGTTTGGGGGGTCCCGACCGGACTTCGAACCTCCCGAGCTCGGTCGCATCGACGTCGCTTCGGCTCATTTTTGGGCGCATCGATGGCTCTCGCTCGAAGCGCGGCGGACGGGCTCGGTCCGAGCCGTTCGCGCGCGCGCGGCGTCCGGGTCGAAGGCGCGGTTCCCGCGCGGCGGCCGCGCGCGCTCGCAGAACGCGGCGACGGCCAGCGCGACGTCCAGGGGCCGCGCGTCGGGCCCGTCGTCGCGCCGCGCGCCGGCCGTCGCCTCGAGGGCCGCCGACGGGCCCGCGGCCGCGCCGGCGTGCGCCGCCGCCGACGCGCGGCGGACCCGCGCCGCGGCCGCGCCGTCGACGACGGCGTCCGCGAGGAGCTCCGCGAGCTCGTCGCGCTGGAGCACGCCGTCGCCGCCCGCGTGGGCCTTGAAGAGCGCGTCGAGGTGCGCCGCGTCGACGCCCAGGGCCGCGGACGCCGCCGCGAGCTCGCGCGCGTCGAGGACGCCGTCGCCGTTCGCGTCCAGGGTCTCGAAGAGGGGCCTGCGCGGAGGTCGCGCCTTCGACCCGGCGTCGACGGGCGCGCGCGCGACGGCCGCGACGCGCGCGGTCCTCGCGCGCTCGACGCGAGCCGTCGCC